GTTCTGGAAAATGCCTTGTTAGGTAATTTCATCATTGTGTAAGTAATGATGGCTATGTACAGGGACCACCTCGGAGTATGTGGTCTGTCGCTAACCAAAAAGCCACTAAGTACTCCATGACTGTGTTCATGAGGATAATGACTGTTTATGTGTGAATTTTTGTTTTTTATTTTTTATGGTCCCAAGGGTTAGATATCTACAAATTGGAAATACAACCTTAGTGTAATGGAAGCAATGAGGTTTTCTTGGCGGGCTAAATGTGGCTGTTTGGCTGTGGGGGTCCCTTAAGAAAACCAAAGCTGGCTGGTGGCCACCCCTCCACCTCACATCACTGAAGGAAGTCCCAGGGCATGGGAATGATGCAGCACCTCACACACACAGTTACCCCTGTGGACAGTAGATGGCAGAAGAGAGTGGTTTTCCACATCACTGTAGGTTCTAATCTGTTCAAAGGGCTTTCCAGAAACTGTTCAGCCTGTTGTGATAATCAAACGACAGAAAGAGTCCTCAGCAAGCTATTTCGCTTCTCAAAGAAATGGAAAAGTCCAAAGCAATCACTAGTTTCAGGTCTTTTCTAGGCAAAATTCTGTCACAAACAATTTCTTATATTGAACTCTTCTTATAATGACTTGGTGGACCTGTCATATCCAGCTTTTCTTGTATTCCACTCTTTTGTAAATGTGCCCTTCTATGCACACGCCTTCTACAATGTGACCTCTTTTTACTGTGATCTTCGGGTTTGCCAGGGACCTAGTACATAGGAAGAACTCAATAAATTTCAAAATGGATAATCAAATGGTTAATATGTTTAGATATTTTTTCAGGACACCTGATGAAGTTTGTCATAATGTCCTTGCTCTTAAGGTGAAAATGTGTGGATTGGATCCAGTTGAGTACACTTATCCTTACCATCTAAACTTGAACCATGTTGGTAAATGAAGTGATGGTAAGCTGGGAGGAAATCTTTGGTGGCATTCCATTTTCAACATTTTTATTGGCTTAAATTATTATAGAAAAGCAGGCTCATTAGACTGACAGATGACATAAAGTTGGATGGAATTGCCAGTAAGTTGAATACTTACTTAGTGGACTCAAAAAACCTGGAGGGACCAGAAGGATGAGCCAAAATCAGCATGATGAACGATAACAGGAAAAATGTAAAGCCTGAATTTAGGTTGGAAAAAGTCCATGCACCATGAACTGCAAAGAGAATATCTGGTTTGGTGGGCCATGGGGGTTGGCGAAAGGGGGTGCAGAAGAGGAGGAGTTTGTGAGAATTGGAACTGATACAATTGTTCATTAACAAGGAGGTGGTTCAATAATATATAGCTCATTCATCCTGTGGAATATTGTGTGTCTGTTAAGAAGAACAAACTAGATCTGTACATACTCACCTGTAAAGTTTTCCAAGGCATATTACTAAATGAGAAACTATCATAAAAAATATATGTAAGAAATGCAAACCAAAATGGTTATGTATGTTTGTGTGTATGCATAGAAAAAAGTATGGAAGTATGCTGAGATGTTAACAAGATATTTTTAAGCAAGGCTATGAGACAGGGTTCTTGCTTTTGACTTTATATTCTTCTGTATTTCATTTTAAATGCAAATTAGTTATATATTAATTCTATAATTACATAAATCACATTAGTGGCCTTTTAATTAAAAATGAGGAAGTGTGATGAGGCTGTTGAAAAGTGAACTCAGAATTATCTGCTATAGTAATGATGTGCCTGGATACTCTTGCTGGAGGGCTGCACTTAGGCCACTGCTGAGAAGGCCCCGGGACACTAACGGGGACATCTTCTGCCATGAGGAGGGCCCCAAATACCTGGTACAGTTTCTGTGTTGGTTAGAGACTGGACTTTCCTCTTTCTTCCCTGTCTGGTATACAGTGTGTTTAGTGTTGAATGAATGTCCACCTGGGGAATGTGAAGCTGTGTAGCTGGAGAACACAGTTAGAGTTGAACTTGGATCTGTTCTCAGTTTGAGGTTCTAAAGTGCAAAACACAAATTTTGGGTCCACCAGTGGGTAGAACAAATGCCAGAGTGGATGTTCTGAGGAGGCAGATTTCAGTAAAACAGTAATGAATCCTGGTGGCCGAGGCAGCCTCTGCCATCTTTCCCATCCTCCCCTGGACTCTGCTGTCCCAGGCCTCTCTCTCATGGGGCTACTCTTCCTGAGATATACGTTTGGTCTGCTTCCCTGGTTTAAGTCTTGGCAGAGAGGTTCCCTCTGGCCACCCTGTGGTGGGCTTTTCTTTGCCCCTGGCACTTCTCTTACGCTGTCTTGGTTTTTTTTTCTCTGTACACTTCTCAGTGGCTTTTTTACTCGACAGTACACTGTTCAGTGCCTGCCCCCTTCACTATAATGGCAGAATTGTTTTCTCTGTAACCCTGGTGCCCAATAGTTGCTGGCACTTAATTGGTTTTCAGCAAGTTTGACTGAGTAAAGGAACACTTAAAAGAAAGATCTAGAGGAATGAAATGGAGGGTCCCACAAAGTCAGGATTGATGCCTTAACCCACCAACAATGGCGAAGATGGGGAGTCCTTCGGCTTGCTTGCTGGCTTCAGGAATGAAACACATCAGGGCAACTCCCAAAGTCCAGTCTGTAGCCTTAGTGTGACAGGCCTTTCACCTCATAGACTTTGAGCAGGATTCCTAATCTCCCTGAGCCATACCTCTGGATCCATTAAACACGAACAATGCTATCTGAAGGCCCACTTCACAATGTTGCTCCAAGGATTAGATGAGATTCCAGCTTGGTATCTAATGAGTGGACAACAGATGGAAATGACATTTTACTGAGCACTCTACCATGTAGAGAGTTTTGAATGGCATCTTGCTTGTCACTAACCTTGGGATGTATTCAGTAAGTGCTTCTAAGATGAGGAAAATTAGGTCTGCTGGAGAAATAAGTGACCTCCTGTCTGCCCCTGCAGGCCCTCTGGGCACACTGCCTACTGCTCAGCAGTTGATCATTCTGGTTAGTGACAGCAGTGATGGACACTCAGGGCCCAGGTCACACTGAGCTGATCCTGATCCACCCATATTCAATTGTCATCCATTTTTGTTAGCTGTGCATCTACAGAAGAGTTGAGACCACGATCCCCAGTTTATTAATGGTTCCCACTGCTTGATAAATTTCATAAATTCTCAGTGTCATATATGACAGTGACTCAGATAGGCTGCAGACCCTCTGGAAGGCTGGCTTGGACTTGACTCTGCCAACCTGGCAGAACCTTTTGGTAGAATATCTTAAAAATTAAATAAAACAGAGCTATTTTTTTTCACCTAGTACAAATTACAGATTGATGATTTGAAATATATATTTAGGATGATCATTTTCAGAGTTCAAGCTCTGATCTACAGACATGTTCTTCAAAGTGGTTGGTAGTAGTCTGTAATTATTTTGATCCAGTCTTTTAATACCTTGAGAGTAATAATCTTCATAGCTTATAAGAGTGAACACATCTATTTTAAAATCCGTGTGCTATTTTAACAGGCTATGTACAGGCACTTTGGATGATTGCCAGGACTCTTAACCCTTTTCTATCATCTGGATGAAAGTTGGTTGCTTCTTGTCTTTTAAATACATTTAAAGTGCGTATAGCTCTTTAAAAATGCTCACAATTACTGATGAGTAAAACAGCTTGAAGTTTTGGATGGAGGCTCATGTGCAGGCAGCCCTGCGGGGGGCAACAGGCAGTCACACACAGGGGAGTCTCCTTCATGGTTTATTTCTCATGGAAGTGGGCACAAGAAATAAAAAAGTTTCATAAGGTCAACTTTGATTACATAAAAATCTAAAAAGAAATCCCATAGAAAAGACACCTGATAAGAATCTTCTCATCCACAAGAATGGCATTTTAAACTGTAGCTTCTTTGATTCTTCCAGGAGCCAAACTGGTCATCCAACTCAGTATCCTCCCATCTCTATCCCACACTAGTCTTAGGTTCTCAGAAATCCATTAGAGGTGCGCATGGGTGGGTGGAAATCATCTCTCTTTTTCTCCTTCCCTATCAATCTTTCTGGTGACAGAGGCTTTTCTGTAATGGGAGCAGAAGAACCCCAGAGTGGTGGTCAGACACCCTGTTAATTTACCTGCTTGGTGTTATGAAATATAAAATATTAATGTAACTACTAAACTGGCCACAGATGAACTTAAAATCTGCTAACTTACAAACTGCAATTGATTTTAAAAAACTAGTATATGAATTAATATATTTTATTATTTTAAATGACACTTGAGACATTACAAAATTATTTTCATAACAAGCATGTAATTAAAGCTAGTATTTATTATTACAAAATGTTTTTACAAAGCTATTCTTGGCAACAAGATGTTTACCCTCATTGAAGTACGTTGAGTAGCATTTTTTGGAAAGCATGTCAACCATAATGATAATCTTAGGGTTCAATTTGTCCTACAGAATTCCTAAATATTTATCTAAATCCTAGTTTCTATTTTTAAAAAAAAGTCTACTCTATTTTCAGTTAAAAAATGGGATGTGGAAGAGGGAAGAAAACTAACTTTTGAGTATATGAAACTCATTTTTAATCATCAGAATTTGAAGTCCAGTTTTTTCATCCATTCTTTAAAAACAATAACCATCCCCACCCCATTTTGTTCAGCACTATTAAGTTATACTGTGGCAATAAGATATTTCCAAGCAACCCCTTTAAATCAGTGTTTCTACCATTTACCACATGTATATTGAGAGAAGATTGGATCTTGACCCGCCTAGAGTTGGTAGTACTTGGTGGTGCGTCCAGTCCACATTTTTTGTGCAAAACTACACTTAAAATTTGAAATGAGGCAATTTGAATCACAGGCCATCACCAAGAACTTCTAGCTTGTCTTACTCGACAGAGGCTGAAATGTTTTCATGAACTACATGCCACAATTAACACAAGGGCCAGCCTCTCAGTGGCACTGCAAATTATTCATAACTGAAAGGCCATATTTAAAATTCACTGATAGTATCTAATTATGCACCATTTACATATCACAATCTGAGCCTTTGAAATAGGAGGAACATATAATGTTTTTTAGAACATTTTGTAGATCAGAGGAACATCTTATTTTTAAAAAGTTTTCACTTAAGTAAGTATAACATGGTTTGAAGCATTAAGTATCTTTACCCATAGTTAAGAACTAAAACTCTCAAAGCAAACCAAACACTGAGATTTCTTTATGCTTACTTCTAATTTGGGGCAAATTGGCAAAGGGAACCCTAAGAGGACCAAACAAATCTTCTCAGTGTCCTCTTTAGAAACTGATGTTTCTCGCCTTTTCTTAAAGACAAAAAAAGTGGGTACCCTTTGTTTAAAATCTGAAAGTACCTTCCACGAATAATCCCCTAGCAACACAGGGTTTCATTAGAACTAATTTTAGTGAAAATCAACACAGGCATAGAATTGAGCCTTTGTTTTGAAGCTTTAGGAGAGTCTTTGTTTTGAAGCTTTAGGAGAGTGGTAAGCTGGGGGGGGGCGGGGGGCGAACTTAAGGTTTTACATGAGACCGAGGGGAATTTCAAATGATTGTGTTTAAGATAAAAATCTTTACTTTGACAGCTAAGCAAGGGTTGCCTCATCCTTTTCATGATGCCTATCTTTCATCTAATAACTGGGTAAGGTGTTAAACTGGTTTTTTCGACTTTCCAGAGCAATATCTAATTAACAAGTAACACAATTCAGTGACATTTAGCATTATGCAAATTCCAGACACTGCAATCATGAAAAACGTGAAGACAGTCTTTTCGGTGGGTCTGGAGACAAAGCAGTCCACTGTATTGGGACACGGCCACGAGGTGCATTTCACCAGCCGCTTCATGTAGAATCCGTCGTACATGATATAGAAGACGTACATGAAGACAGCTTCAAAGATGATGCGGAAGAAGATGCTGCTGGTGTAGGTCCACCACAGCGACCCTTGGATGCGGACTTTCTGACTTTTGATTTCTTCGATGTCTTTAAATTCGTTCTTTATTTCTCCCTTCATGAACTTCCTTTTTTTCTCATGTCTCCGGTAGGCTACATGCATGGCCACCAGGAGGGCGGGCGTGGATACAAAGATCAGCTGAAGAGCCCAGAGTCGTATGTGAGAGATGGGGAAGTGGTGGTCATAGCAGACATTTTTGCATCCTGGCTGCAGAGTGTTGCAGGTAAAATCAGCTTGCTCATCTCCCCACACTTCCTTTGCTGCTACAACGAGGATCATGATGCGAAAAATGAAGAGAACAGTGAGCCAGATTTTCCCAATGCTGGTGGAGTATTTATTGACACCCCCCAAAATGGTGTGCAGTGCGCTCCAATCCATCTTCTCCTCCGGGTGGTTGCACTGCAAAAGGCAAAATGAACACAATGCAAGATGACTAGTCAGGACAGAATCTGGGAGATTGTTCTGGGTCTTAAATCTCTTCCTGAGCAAATACCAACTCTTACACAACCTCACACAAAAAAGGGTAAAATCACAACCAACTTTGTTTGCCACAGGATTAAATGTATAGTTCCCAAACCATCTTGAACATGTTTTCGTGCACTCTCTAATAAGAGTAGCTCACTCACCAGAGTAATTTACCCAGCCTTTAACACATAATAAAAAACTGGGGGTCGAGAAACCACCCGGAGCACCACTAATATAAAGGCACTAATTCCAGCTGACTGAAACCTCTTCTGACACTCCCAGGTCCTCTCCCCCAGCCAGAGTTACTCAGCGCCCTGGTGACTTTCAATAGTTGCCCAGGCTTGTTAGCCTCATGCTGTATCCTACTACTGGGTTTGAGCTTCACTGGGGTCAACCTTGCCTCAAAGGCCAAACAGACCAGAGTCACCTCCCTTAAAATATTTCAAGTAATTTTCACAGACTTGGGATGTAATAAGTGATTGTTAGAGGCACCCCAAGTTAAAATTCGCAAAGGGCCTCACTTCCATTTTCTATATGAAAAGATGCAGGTTACAAATGGTCTCTTCACAGAGACCATTTTGATGTGCTGGTGTCTGGCTTGGTAATCTTCCTCATCACACGGGCTTGATGGCTCCGTTCACACAAGGGATGTATATTTGGTGAGTGTGGCAACTGTGCACTTCTTTTTTGGGTCATGGTTTTAATTTAGTAGTGTTTCTAAGAGGCTATTATGAAAAACGACAATGTGTAGCTCAGTGGTTCCTCAGTTACTGGCCCAACAAGGTGATGTCACTGGATTGTTGTTCAGAAGCGAAGTTCGCAGGGGTAAAGTGCTACTTATTGAAAATGGAGGTTGGGAAACCTGTGGAGCAATCTTCCGTGAGCCAACTGCCTTCTCTTCACCCAGGATATGAGCTGTCTTTATTCAAAGTTACACTCCATCTGTCTCAATCAACCCCTTTTCTAAACATGATTCTATCTCCACATCCTGAGTAATCTGTTTTCTGTCCCTCCCAAGCTGGTAGTAGAGTCTCTTTCTTCTCTTACTTAAAGGTATAATGCTTTCCTCGGTCTGAGCTAAGCAGGCCCGGGTGCCAGTGAACTTCCTATGCAGGCCCTCAATAAGCTTCTTTCATTGCTGCCTCCTCTTGGGTGCTGCTGTGGGCACCCCGATCTGGGTGAAACCATCTGATGCCACCTTGGTGGGGGAAGGCAGCAGGAAAGTGGAGCATAATATTGAAATATACCTGAGAAACCTTTAGCGTAACTCAGCTTGAAAAGGAGAAACACATTTGGAAGAAACCGTGGTTTTGTTGGTATTCAGCCCTGACCCTTTAAATACAGAGCCTCTGGGGAAGTCCTTGAGTGAACTAAGGATATTTTGCTGAAAGTTTCACATTTCCATCCAGACCTGCCCAAGAAGCGAAATAGAAATTCATATTTTAACCAAACTATCTCTGGAATTAGATATTCTAGCTCTTCATTGGCACTTAATAAGAGGAAAACAGGATATTCTCTGAAATAAACTGTGGTTTACATCAATATATATGACCCTAAATCCAATAGTGGGTCTTCAGTCTTTGCTCTTTGCCACAGTACCAAACACAGAACCACACTTATCTATAAACCAGTCCATTAGCCATCAGTTGAGAAGAATACAAAGTAAAACTGATATATGTGTATATATATATATATATATATATCTTTTTTAAATTTCTTTTTTCAGCCACAGCTTAACTACCTGTTTCAAATATTCTTTAAGGAAGCGAAGCAAATTAATATTTGATCCTCAAGTGGGATAGAGGTCAAGATGGACTAGCCAAGCAGGATGAGACTGTTCTTAACATTCAAGTCAGTGTGGGAGCTGCCCTCCTGCCCTTCCTGACCTGGCAGATGGGTCAAGGCAGGCTCTTGCCAGGTCTTACCACCCTGCAATTGATGGTGCTGTGCCAGAGGCAAGGTAAGCTGGTTCTGTTCTGTAGGGAAGGCACTGGATGAATCACTGGGGTCCGGAAAAGGCAAAGGGAATTCTTCATCCCCCTACTTTCTCAATCTTACATATTTTTAAGGCCGTCTTGACTACCTGTCTCCAGAGCTCCCTGGTCTTTTCACAAGGGTCTGCAACGATGAATGAAAGGGACTCAAAAGGCAAATGGCGGGGCAAGGCTGGAGCAACACACGTCCACACTGAGTCCCAGATAAATGCTCATGCGTGTTCAGCTTTCAGAAAACTGTGGGACGCACAGCGTTTAGGTGTATCTCCCCCTTCCCGAGAGGGAACATCCAAGGACTGATGCAACCGCCCTAAAGAACATGTTTCTGGGTTGCAACTACCGCGTTTGCAAAGAGTATCCTCAAGGCTTTCTCTCCAGCTGGAAAACACCGTCTGGAATGAACGCTCTTAAGTCGCTCACGAAAAAGAGAAGCAACCAGTGTCCTGCCCTCAAAGGCTGCTACGGGGTCCCCGCGCACTCCCTGCTCACTCCCCACCGTGTCCCCCAACTTTCCCGAGCGCCTTTCTTTGCAGAGGCCCAGCGAGGAGCTAAAGGTCAGTTCCCTCCAGGGCAGGCGCCCTGTTTAGCAGACGAAATAGAGTTTTCCCCCTAAACTAAGTCTTCGGTCGATTTCAAACTGTGGGTGGCGACAGATAAACCAAACCCGCGGCTGTGCGAGGCTCTCGCCCGCGGCCACACGGCCCGCGCGGGCCGACCGCCCGCTTCCACCCGCGCCGGGCGCGCCCGAGCCCGCTCTGGGTCCTGCCACCGCGTCCGCTGCAGCGCGCGGCTGCGCATCCGGCCCGAGCGGCCCGGCGCGGACTGAGCGAACGACCGGAGCGCTCCTTTCCACAAGTTCGCTCCCGCCACCTGCCCCCCGCCGACGCCGCCGACGCCGCTGCCCGGGCCAGGGACCACTCGTGGACCCGGCGCCGCCGCGGCGGGACCCCCAGCCCTGCCGCTCTCAGGGTCCCCCCCTCGCGCCCGGCCCCTAATTGTCCCGGGCGCCGAGCTGCCGGCGCCGGCCCGACCGCCGGCCCAGCTCTCCGGCTCGGGGCTCACCTGCTGGGGCGGGGCTGCGCGGCGGGGTGGGGGCTCCGCCTCTCCGGTGGTCCTGGCCCGGCTGGCCTCGGGCTCGCTCCGGCTCCGGCGCCGCCGACCTGCGGGACTCTCGGAGAGCTGGGCGCGGGCGCCTGTGTCTTCAACACCTGTCTGCTCCGGCGGCGTCTTTTAACCGAACCCCAACCCCGCCTCCTCCCCCCAGTCGTTCGGAAAGCCACTTAGGGGGCGGCTCCTTTTGGCCCGGCCGCCCCCTGCGCTGCGGGCGGGGCGCTCCCTGCCTCTCGGGTGCCAGCAGCTTTGCGGGGTTCCCGAGCGCCCCTCCAAGCCCAGGGGAGCTCGTCCTCCTCCCCGGAGCGCTGAGCGTCCGGGGGTCGAGATAGTCTCTCTCTCAGAGCCCCAAGCACCCCAGACCTCTCTTCCTCTCTTCACCCCCAGGCCCTTGCTCAGGCTCCGGTTCTCAGCGGAGAGAGGCTGAGTGTCGTGACCCAAGGGAGGGTGCAACCCCCGGGCCTAGGCACCCTGATTGTTGGGGGAAAGGTTGGGGTTAAAGGATTTTTGTTCTTATTTCAACTTGGACTAGTTCGAGTACTATTGTATTTAAAGGTCTGCTTATTTTATTTATTTTACTTATTTATTCACTTGGTTAATCAGTCAGTAAAAAAAACAGGCGTTCCCAACCCTTTGAAAATTGCAGCTCTGGCGGGGAGGTTCCAGCTCCCGCAGGCTCGGGGCTGCCAGCAGAGGCTTCTCCTGCTTGGAATGTGGTGTCAGAGCGGGTGAGGCGCTTTGGCCTAGACTCTAGACTCTGCCTCTTGCTCCCCCAAATCTCACAGGCAAATTTACAGACACTTCCTGACTTGGGTCAGTCTATTTGAACAATATGCCAAGAGTTAGGATGGCAGGGGGTGGAGGCCACAATTCTTGCTCTTGCAAGTGCTGGCTCCGGAGCCTGAGCAACTAGGAGCTTCGCCTGGGCCCTGCCCGCTTCCCCCCTTCCACAGTAGAGAAGCCACAGAGTTTACTTGCTCAACTTGGGCTGGGGGTTGGGGAGCTCAAGTGATTCAGAAAGACACGAATGAAGCCTCCCCACCCACCCCCTCCTGTCGTCCCCCTACCATACTCCAGTAAGGGAAGGTTGACAGGATTTCTGGAGAAGGTCCCCGGGCAGTGTATTCTGGACAGTTGAGTCCCTGGAATACGTGGTCTCGGATTATGAGGTCTCCCTGTTCACATTTGGTTGGGTATTTCGATGTCTTGAGATGCAGGAGACAGATAATGGATATTCACGAAACAAATGGATGGACAATTAAAATCATAGGTGCAGCGACTTTTGGGGAGGTCATGGCGTGCCTGCTAAGGCGCCTTGCTTCTTGACGATTCCTGCAAGGGCAGCGACTGGAGAAGCAGAAGCGTGCTCCCTCTCACGCTCGCCTTCTCTTACACCACGTTTATGTTTTAAACAGGTGATGATTCATTTTGTCAGTTGGCTTTAGAAATGCATTTCCCTCACTTTCAACGTGAAGCTATTGACTTTTCCTGGTAAAACTGGCACCCCGTCGCCCAGGGCAATATAGTCCATTCTTCTATGGGCCAACTCAAGTTTTATCCTGTGTTTACTACCTCACCTTCCAGCTCTAAGTCTTAGTCTATGAGGGAGTGTCTGTTGGTGATGAAACTAAACCCCAAGAGCTGCCAAGAGTCCTACATAGCCCATCTGAGAGAAATGCTAAATCAGCATTTTCAAATGTGGAGGCAGAGCTAATGGGATGGAGGCAACCTGGGAGGGTCTCGGTGCATCTCAGGGTTGGGGTTGAGGTTGGGGTTGGGAGATGGGGGTTCCTGCCTTTGGTTGTTTCAGGGCCAGTGCTGCTGAGAAGTCTGTTAGAGCCCAGGTTG